AATGCAACTGTGACGGCTCCTAGGTAGAAATTTAACGCCTGTTCTCCTACTACAAGGCTACCCCAGTATTGTCTTTGCATTTCAGTCAGTCATTTCATTTGGGTGCAATTGACATTGTTCTCATTAGTTAAGATGAGTGGGGTAGTGAAAATGTGGACGGGTCTTAGTGTGATGAGCTTGGCATTATTAGGGGTTGTGTGCATGTTTTTCACAGCTTTTCGGGTTCGGCCAGAGTGGTTTGTTACGCCACAGGCCTGTGATTTCCAAGGTCAATGCCACCGAACTTTTATTGTCAAATTCCTTTTTCCGTCTCCTTATCGCTAGTTAGAGTACACTAGCAATGAATATCATACATGTTATATATAAATGTCCGATTCTGGCCCAGTCCATCGCCCAACGCAGATCTAATCAAGCTTCCGGGACATCATGATTATGCGCATCAACACACAGAATACCAAGATGCCATGGGACCCCTATCTGACTCCGATTAATAGTCCTACGAATATCTTCCCAAGTGTCTGGAACAATCAAGGCACTGATCAAGAGCTACCATGCCAATATAGTAACGGAGAAGACTTCCCTGCCTTTGATGCGCCTTCCCAGCCAGTCATTGAGAGCCAACAAGCTATCTTTGGGCCACACGAGTTACCGGACTTACCCCAACTACCAGTCCAGCCCTTGATGTCTCCTGCTGATCTTACGCACCATTCCAAGGTTGCTGGATATGATTCTCCTACAAGCCATCTATTCGCAAGTCCAATTTGGCCTCCAGATGAAAATGTTTATACGGGAAGTCCCGAATTTTTGAATGCGGCCAATGAAGTCAACATCGCTTCTAGTTGGGGTCTTATGGATGGCTTGGAGTCGTGCGATGAATCATTTTCACAAATCAGGGAAATTTGCGGCACAAGCAAGAAGATGCCAATCTTGCAGCATGCGAGAACGAGGTCGCTCACAAGGCGGAAAGAAAAGCCTAACATCGAGCCATCAGTCGCCTTTGGGAGGAATATGAACAGATGCGGCTTCCGAGGGTGCGGTCGAGTATACCAAAGAATCGAGCATCTGAAACGTCATGTCAACATGTGAGTGGGCCTCGAGCGTCAGACTTTCCTCTACACGCATGTTTGCTTCGAGTCGTGATGCTGAGAAATCCTATATTAGCGATCATAGCGAGTATCCCGTAACTTTCTCTTGCGAGTTTTGTGGGAAAAGTGATTTCAGGCGCGTTGACAACCTGAGGATCCATCGAAAGCTGCACGCACGTCAGCCAAGCCGCCACGCTAGAGTGCAATTTGTTCCTGAAGCAGCAGTGATTCTTGAAGAGGAGATGCGAATTAAGGAGGCGAGGTGACTGCCGTCAACTACTCGTATGAGATAGAGGTCTGATCATCCATGTATTTGATAGGTGAAGCAGCGACGTTTCACAGCACTGCTAAACGTTCCCGTGATCTCGTCAATCTCGCATGCATACCGGCCAACGATGGGAGAGGTTCGGGGGGGATAGGTAGCTGGGTCGAGTAATGTTGAGAAGATACACTTCCATCCTTCTCAATATCGTTACGCTTCTAGAGAGCCGCATGTATTAAAGAATATGGGAGCAGACAGTTGATGAAATTGCTATCGTCAGCACTTCTTTTTTGCATTAATCCCCTGTTTCTGTAATTTGTAGAATATTCTCTCCTTTTTACCTGTCTTTAATCAAGTTTAGATGCTATATTACTTTTATCCCTCTTGTAAAA